CTGCGACCACGCTCGCAGTCGAACCGTTCCCGCCGAGGTCGAGACGTGGTTGCCCGCAGCGCGCACGGGCCTCCGCGGGTCGAGCGCCGTCAGGACGTCGTGAGGAGTATATAGTCGAGAGCCTGTAGAAAGTCCGAATTGTGTTAGCAAATGCTACGAGGGGCGCCGGAGACGACTGCATACCGTTTGACGATCGTTGTCGTGGTCGTACGCGTGGGGGCGAGAGCGAGAGCGCAAAGGCCAGCGCCCTCGGGGGACTCGGAGACGCGCCGGGAGCTCCCACGAGCACACGTGCGTGTCTTCCCAATTTGGACTTTCGACTTTCGACTCCCGAGTTCCGAACGGGCGCTTCCTCTACCTCCTTCTGCGCCGCGTGCAGTGGCACACTCTCTCGGCTTTCCACAATCCATCCTCGGCCAACTCCAGCCAGTTTTGCGCCTGTTGTTGCACGACTTTTTGTCATACCTTACATTGTTGCAACAAAGCGACCCCGCCGCGTGCTTCGCGGGGATGTGTCACGCTGCCCATTTAACCCGAGCAAGTAGCTAGCCTGACCACACATGGAGCTCTCAGATTGATGAGATCACTCCAGTTCATTCCGAAGAGGTCTTAAGGCCACACCCAGCCGAGCCTTGTGACGATCCCGTATTCCTCAGAAAGGTTGTCCACTGTGTGACGTGTGTATACAAGCATTCCCGAGCTCGACCGTTTACCCTCAGTCCTCGCAACCGAGATCCGGACGACTGAAACTCGTGGAACACCATGTGAGCTCCACACTCCCTTCTACATTGTCTACACTGCTAACGGCTCCGGAATGTTGGGACATTGCGTCAGTGACCGTCGACATTCCTTTATACGTTGACGCACACGTCGATTTTTGCTTTGTGGTAACGTCTATATAGCACGCTGAAGTGATTGCCCACCGACATTCCCAGATTTCCCACCTTCACCACTATGGACCCAACCTCTGATATCGTCTCTGTCTTCTGTGCTGCCTGCGTGGAAATGTCCAGCAGCGCCACAGATGAAGATTTCAGCAAAGTATTGGCTGACAATCACGGCACGAGCTCGCTCCAGGAGGTTTCTGTAGGACTCGCGTGTATCATGGGGGACAATTGTGCGTATCTCCTCTACTCTGTGATGAGCTCGTTCATCGCCATACTGACGACGAGTGAAGTTGCTTTAGCGATAACAGACGACTGCATGCTCCCTCAAGCGCCAGAAGATGCTTACGATAACACCTCGTTCACCATCATGATCGACAGCAAACTCCGCGTTGCAAGTGACGAGGCGAGTACAATCTCTATTTTCTTGCCTTCGGAATTGCTTTGAACTGATCATCAAGCAGCGGTGTAAGCTGGTTGCGCTCAGGACGCACTCCACCTCCCTGTGGACTCAGTTGTGGTTCCATCGCGACTGCGAGTACTGGGATTTCCTCGCTTCCCTCTCCCAAGCTAAGGCGACCACCGCTACGCGTCGCGAGCTAGTCGACTCCAAGTTGTCCGATTTGCTGGAGGACTTCTCCTGCTACTTCAAGCCCACGATCATCCCCGACACCGATCCCGAGATGGTTACCGGCCCGAACCGTGCCTGCGAGGAATACCAAGACGTGCGTCAGTGAATCCTTATCTACCGAAATTGCACACAGCGCTGGTAAGTGCATTCTCACTCGCTCTCTTCCTCCGCGACACTGTTAACCGACTCCTAGATGGCATCGCGAATGACATAATAGCATATTGAGTATGAGATGAGATGAGAAGCGCGCGCGGAGGGGGGAAGGGTCTCATACTGTGTATAATCTTGAGTGAACGGCATATGTTTGACTGACCTTGCTGCGACTTTGTGCCATTGACGATTACGTCTGCAACATCCCGTGAGAGGCCACGGTGGTTGCGCGTTAAGCGTAGTCGTGCAACTGAGTACTGAGAACTTGATCAGCTGGAGCTGTCAAACTGCTTACAGCCAGCCCACACATACTGCTGCGTTCGACGAGTGTGGTATTTACCCGTACGTGTACACGAATGATGCATAACAGTAAATATGTGGTTCTGCGGCACTGTATCTCCGGCCAGCCCGCCTCCAAAATTCCATAGAAATTGATTATGTTCCGCTATCGGCTGCTCCAGCATCTCGACCTGCACGAGGACGTTGACCCCGACCTGCTTGACTTTGGCGCAGTGGTGTGTAGCTGGGAAATTAGGGCGACAGTAGTGAACGCCCGAAAGGCGGAGAGTATGCTACATTCGCAGGCGCGAAGGGGTACATCACAAGGTACACGTATAACTACAGATTTCATTGCGATGAGAATAATATTGAACAGAGGGCAGCCCAGTACGTTGATCCATGCCGATATTCGAGTCCCTCAACGATAGGGACCTGGCTTGTTGAGTTCGGCCATGTGTGCTTCGATTGCACTTCAAAGATGATGCCGCAGTGAGTCATATGCGGGTGGCGAGAAGGAGAAGAACATACCGCCAAACTGCTGGACAGTGGTCGAATGAATACGTCTCCTCGCTCCGACAAAGATCTTCTCTAGCGAAGTCGCCAAGCTTTGCATACCATGTGGCATCGTATGCATTACGAGGTAAGCCCTTCACTGCATCGCGGCTGTCGTCGACCTTCGTGCTTTGCATGCGCTTACGAGGCTGATTTCCCCGCGCATTGGAAGGCCTGGAAATGGCCTCGACGGCGTCGAAACCACGCACCCAAAGTGTCACTCGCTCAGGGCGCCAAGACTTCCTCAGGATACGATAGTACTTGACCCCATTCTGGCTATCAGACTCATCGGAACTCATCCCATCGACTCCGAGTTGCTCGAGCATTGGGAGGTGTGGGGCTAGCTGTGGATACTTCATAGCAACATGCCGACGCCGGAAAAAGAGCTGCGACACGATTGAGGTTATTTATGTCGACGAGGTCGCATTACTGGTGGCGCGACACATACCGTGATCTTCCGCTGTTCCCGATTAGCCTTGCTCTGCAATTGATGCCGGGCATCCGCGGAGAGCTGTTGCTCGCGATAGTTCTTGCGCAGGGTTCGAACGTGAGTTGTGAATGCGGCAGCCACTTCTTCGACGTTTTCGCAATCGAATCGTCCCGAGTCCACGAAGGCGCGGGCGAAAACCATGGAGGCTGATTTATTCCACTTGTTCAGTGCACCTTGGCTGATGTCGATTTTGAAATGGTCTTTGTCGCAGCAGTGGTTTCCCGTACCGTCAAAGCGAGCCACTTCTTCAGCGGCCGCAAGGCAGGAAGGGGGAAAGGGGGAATTACACGTCGCTCGTTTCATGAGCTCACGAGCAAACACCTGAACGTCGCGCTAAAACGTAGGGTCAGCGATATATCGTGTTTATAAATGGCTTCGGAGCGCACTTCTAAGGTGCACTTTTTATCTGTGCGTCTTTTGGGAGAGCCCTTGCGTTTAGGCATGAATCCCGGTTTTACCGACGAGTTGGAACCGTTTCTCCGGGCATCATTGTTGCCATTGCCATGCGACGAGGTATTCTGAGAAGAATTGTGCTGCGATGATCGATGAGGCGATGACGTGGTGGGTTGGGTGGCATGTGCGGTGGATTGTTCCCTCAGTAGTGCGACGATATCCGTGGAAAATTCCCTGAAAGACGTCACCAGGTTCTCCAAGCCTCGGCGTAGCTCAAGCACTTCCTGGCGTGTCGCAGCGGCCTCCTACCGAGCGTATTGATGTTAACGCATGACTTATACAGACCATCGAAAACTCACCATTGGGTTTGCCGCCAAGGCGTGCAAGTGAGCAGAAGTTAACCTGTTCCGCTCGGCGAATCGCATGTTTGCCTCATGCGTAGCCTTCGGATCTCGTCTCAGATTTTGATATGCAGGGGCCGCCTGAGGGTTTCTCGGTGTTGTACCAGAGTCCGGCCTCATGTTGGGCGCATGAGACCCTCGCCCTATCCTGCCTCGAGCAGATGGAGAGCTATCATGTTCACTAGGCGAAGGCTTTACTTGGGAATTAATGCTGTATAAGCGCTGCAATACAGCTCACACATACCGACGAATCCACTCTTCTTCTTTTGTGGCGTGGTTGGCGTGCGGCCGTACTCGGGATGGAGGGCCGGGGGGGTGTCTGAGCACGCATTTTCCCCTTACTAAAATCGTTGCTCAGTTTCAGGCATGCTGCCATCAAGACTATGAATTGTCTCACGCCGTTTCACGGTGAATCGAACCACGGTCGCCGTATCTCTGCTTGGGTCTGTAACCAGGATATTAGTAGCAATACGCCACCAGGACAAATTATCACGCACCGATCACCATTATCAAAGGACGTGCCGCCACCTTCGCGATGATACGGCGAGGAGTTTGTTGGGGTTGACAGTGCCTGATCTCTTGGTGCGGCGTCCTGGTAGGCACTGTGCGCGTAGCTGTCAAAGGTGAATTTGGGAATGGGGCGCTTCTTAACAATATGTGCTTACTTGACATGTCCACTGGGGCCAGAGGCAGTGATATCCGCGCTTGCAATCCACCGTTGCTGTACGTCACCGGGCTCAAACGGAGCCAGGCCCGATTGCACTGTTGCATTGCGAAAACCGCTATGCATTTCCAAGGCCGGCGGTACCGATCTACATCAACTCACATAGTCAGACTTATGGTAAAGTGCCACGGCATCGCCATTGGGGTGATGGAGAACTACTTACGGATACAGGGAACTTGAGGACGAAGCCGGATCGGTAAAATGTCTTGCGTGTTGTCTGCCCATGTCGCCATGTCAGTAGGGGGGGAAAGGCGCCTATAGAAAATGTCCACCTTGATTCATTTCCAGCACTTTCGTGCCCGACTGATGGATGAAATCTAGATGAGACCTCGACAGAGCGACCACTATCAACATAACTTTAAGCCACGTCGTTCCCGATCATTTGCACAAACAGTGACCCTCGAAGCACTACTGACCTCATCGAGGAGAACTGATCTGGATTTGCAGACGATTGATATGTTACGCCGGACGTAGGAGAGGTGGGCATGTTGTGGCCGGTGTCCAGTCCGACGTGTTCGTAGTACGAGCTGTGGTGGTGGGAGGTTTCCGACATCATCTCTTGATCGATGTTCAGCTCGTCGTTTTCTTCGCGCCGGTGAGCGGCCCTGAATACCTCCACGTCGTTCATGATATCACTTGACGCTCGTCTGTAGGTATACTCGGCTTCGTCTGTGTTGTCGGTGTCGATTTTTTCGGTGTCAGTTTCATCGGTGTCGGTTTCGTCCATTTCGTCGGAGTCATGGTCGTCAGTAACGCTTGTACTTGTATATCCCTGATCAATTCCCTGCACACTGTAGCCAACTTCGTGATCACGACGAGCAGCTTGGTCGTAACGAGAAATATCGGGTGTGTGGGAGATGAGATCACCGCTTAGCGTGGCGTGGTCCGCACGACGGCCTCCATGCGACACATCTTCCATGTACACAGATCCATGCGAAGAGGCAGCGTGGGCTGGGGTCATCTGTTTGGTCTATGAGTGAGCAGCCGTAGTCGGGGTGACCGATGGTATCCTACGTTCGAGTGGGTGTGGTCATTGCCGCCACCAAGTTCCGCCGCGGTGCCGGCGTCCCCTACGTTGTTCCACCTTGGGGAATCTTCCCATACGTGACCTTATGAACGAGTGAAGCCCAAGTTTATATAGTGTAATTGAGGTTCGTACCTGCCTGCAGGGCCATTTGGTCATCCGAGAAACCTTGAAGGGCTGGGATGACCGAATCTCAAGTGTTAAAACCGCCTCATACTACCAAATGAGAAACGGGATATACAGTTTGCGACACGGTAAAGGCCTTCATGTGCGGCAGGATCTGCGGAATGCGCGTTGAGTGACCGAAGGATCCCTTTAAGAGTAAAATACCCACTTTCTTGGGATGTCTCGGTGCTCGAGAAGTGCTCTGGTGCGGGCCATCTTTGGTGTAGTTCCCAGTTTCCATGCACTTGTGGACCAGTCAGTCAAGTGAATCCATCTGACACAATTTACGGACCTTCATAGTCGTCAGGTTGTGCAAATTGATTTCCTGGTTGAAACCCGGACATTCTTACGATACCAGGAACCGGCAGCAGGATATGGAGGGTGCCGGTCGGAGGGTCGGTGGGGAGGTTGGATGCAACCGGAGTGTCGGGCGTCGTACGATGAGGTTCAGGACCTTTAAGGCAGGACGATATGCTTCGTGAACACCAGAAGAAAGGGCTTGCAACTCCCAATGGGGGTTGAGACCATCAAGTCATTGTACGCTTATTGCATTCCGCACAACATCAATAAGCCGTCACAAAGAGCTTGTCAAAGATGTAGCGTCAGTCTCGGCGAACCTCCATTCGCGTACTCTGCCGCGCATTTTGCACAGAACGAAACGACATGGCACAGCTACTTAGGTCCCTTCGAAGTATCGGCGAGCATGTGTGTGGCTCGACCCAAATGCTGGCATACGGGACGGTATCAGCCGAAAAGGTTGGCGATGGCAAGAAAGCGCAGGTGCTACAGCCCGATGTGCTTTCCGCTACAAGATCTTTCATCGTACGTATACTTGGTAATGATATGATATTTGGGCTGCAGGTTTAAGTGGCTCATGATTTTTGCTTTGTTGCTGAGTCGCGTGGACCGACAATCTGCGGTATCGAAATATGAGCGGAGGCGGACAGAACGAAGCACATTGCATCATCGAAACAACTATCGTCCGTCGGCATGCGTTTTGTGGAGTCGCAAGCGATGCTGAGGGACAGCTGTTGACGCGCGAAATCCGAAACAAGCGTACATGCTGGCTCTTGCGGCAGGCGCTGACGGGCCGCTCGCCGTTGTACGTCCGGGCGAAGAGCCGTGGACGCGGACGAAGGAGCGCATATCCAACTAAGTTGACTTCGGATTGAATGGTTGTGAGCACATATGTACAGACCGAGCAGTGAGGAAATGAAACGAACGATTGGGGTGCTAGGTCTGCGGCGGCCGCACTGAGATCGAGCGTCCAACCATCTGCGAGGGTACACAGACCGACGGAGGCGGAGCGCATGGGAAGTTGTTGGCGGACC